TTTGGCATTAGAAATGACTTGGTAGGTCTCCTTATCCAACCTTCTATCCAATGTAGAAATCTTTCATAATATTGCTGGAAAATGATCATTCCACCTTTCAGTGAAAGAGAATTTAAAAGACAGTCCATTTAATTGTGCTAAGTACTTGTATCTTTATACGACTTTAAGCCTTAGCCTTTCCTTCTGAAAAACTGAACACTACCTTCTTAGCGGGGGCTCTGGTTTACAGCAGATGCTTCCCTCTAATGGTCAGGATGTGCTTCTCTACAATCTCCACATATTGGAAATGTTTGCCTTGTCGTGCCAGAAAAACACTTTCCACATGACAGATCTGAAGACAAGAATCATGTTGCCATTATTCCTTCCTGGATGCTCCACATATTATATATATGTCCCTGTCTTACAAATGACATCTCCACACACAGTCCTTAATCCTTCTACATATAGAATATGTAATAAACTAAAACACCATCATCTTCACATAAACTTTTCTTAACCCAAGTTCTCCTCCCTGTGCAAGTGCAATAAATTTTTAAAAAGGAAAGTCAGAATATATTTAACTCTGTTAAAACTCTAATTTTATTAGTTTCATTCTATTAAGATGACTATGAATCTTGATTTTGTCCCTCACTGCTTAAGAGTCAGGTTGGGGCCCTGGCCGGTTTGGCTCAGCGGTTAGAGCGTCGGCCTGCGTCTAGAGAGACCGGGTTCGGTTCCCGCTAAGGGCGCGTACCTCGGTTGCAGTTTGTCCCTGGCCCTGGTAGGTCGTGCGGGTGACAGCCACTCCATGAGTCCCTTTCACGTCGATGTTTCTCTCTCTCTCTCTCTCTCTCCTTCCCTCCCACTCTATCTCAAAAAATGGAAAAATGTCCTCAGGTGAGGATTAAAAAAAAAAAAAAGACTCAGGTTGGGGCCCAGGTGGTGTGGCTCAGTGGATAGAGAATCCTTCCATGGACTGAGAGTTCCCGATTCGATTCTCAGTCAGAGCACATGCTGGGGTTATGGGCTTGATCCCCAGTAGAGGGTGTGAAGGAGGCTCAGTGGATAGAGAATCCTTCCATGGACTGAGAGTTCCCGGTTCGATTCTCAGTCAGAGCACATGCTGGGGTTATGGGCTTGATCCCCAGTAGAGGGTGTGAAGGAGGCAACCAATGGATGTTTATCTCTCACATTGATGTTCCTATCCCTTCTTCTCTCTCTAAAAAAATCAATAAAAATATATATATTTTTAAAAAGAGGTTGGGTAAGTATTTTTTACATTTTAAATAGTTAGAATAAATGGACAAAAATGAGACAGAAAACCTTTTGAGGTGAGACAACTGTAGCATCTGAGTTGCAACAGAACCATAATTCTAGATTGAGATAACTACTGTCATAGTTAAAAAATATTTCTTGTTGACCATACTGTTTAAATATTTAAAATAGTAACACTTAAAGGTAAGTTTTATCATCTATAAAATGCATTATTTTGGAATGTCATTTAGACATGGCTTTAGCTATATATTAAGGTTCATTAAACTCTTCCTCTTCCCAAACTTCTATTTGTTTGAACTAAATAAATATTTCATTTTCTAGAAATCAGTGTTCTCATACTGTGAACCACCATAAAAGAGTGTTTTCATATACAATTAAAGCTGTAAGGGAATACCATATGCCAACCCCTTTACATGGATTATCTCATTTGAAACGGTACAATAAGTACTATTATCACTTGTTTTATAGATTACAAAACCAAGCTCAGAGAGATTCACTAAAAGTTTGTTCAAGGACATACAGCCAGTATGAGGGAGAGCTGAAGGGCCAGTAGTAATAGAGGAAACAAGGACAACAAAGCCTTGTGCTCAGAAGACCCTATGACACCAACACTGACACAATTAGGCTGTTCCCCGCTCCCCCACCTGCCAGGGGCCCTGACACAGACACTGGTCAGACAAGCACACAGAGGGGAAGATTTCACTTTATTGTTATTTACATCAACCTCACAAATAAACCCAACACAGCCAGAAACACGGAGCAGATAAAGTGCTAATGCAGAAGCCTGGAAACAGAAGGGAGGAATCCAGTTCATCTCCTCCATGTCGCCAAACTGGAAAGATATTTCTATTACATAAGAGTAAGGATAGCTGATATACCAAGCAATCCATTCTATAGACACTTTGAGCTAAGGAATAGAAAGTCTTACCAGGTAGGATCTGTGCAGGGTAAGGAAATAGAAAAGTCAGAAAACATTTGTTCCGCAAACAAGTCAGGCAAAGAAATACCAAATGACAAAAACAATATTTTCCAAAATTTTTGTATTTGAGATGGACATCTAATAAAGAAGGCAAGGGGTAGCAGTTCTACATGGTTACTTCTTGCTATTGGTTATTTTCAGAACTGTGACCTAGGTAGACACTCTCTTTCTACACCCTCAATCAGAGATGCCAGAGAGAATTTTCTAGGATTTTGGGAAAAAAATGACCTTAACTATTTACCTTGATAGCCCCCCAAAAGTAGACCCAGTGCTCCCTAATGCATATCAAGGAGATATGGGCTACCAAAGTAATCAACTTGGCAGCATTTAAAGATTAATGGAGCTCAAGATTTCCCATAATTGTCATTAGACATTTTAAGGTAACTCTATCAAGCCTGAGGTCTAAGGCACAATTATTTGGTTAGTAAATTCAAATAATTGGACTGCATTGAGATTATGATACCCTAAACTCAGGCTGCCCCAATTGTTTCTATTTCAAAACTGGAACATCACTGACTGATTTTCAGAGGCCAGAAAGATCACTAAAGGTCATCTGATCTTCCCCCTGATGCTACATAATCCTGAACTCAGAGGGTCAGAATCAGTTGCATCTTTCTAGCACCTGAGAATTCCTGGTCTCACTGGCCCACAGGGAATCCATATAAGGATAAACCAGGTCCAGCTGGCATGGCTCAGTGGTTGAGCATTGACCCATGCACCAAGAGGTCGCCAATTCCCGGTCAGGACACGTGCCTGGGTTGTGGGCCCAATCCCCAGTCGGGGGCATGCAGGAGGTGGCCAATTTATGTTCTCTCTCACAGATGTTTCCATCTCTCCCTCTCATTTCCTCTCTCTCTCAAATCAGTAAAGGGAAAAAAAAATTTTTTTAAAAGGATAAACCAGGCCAAGGAACATCCAACATGCCTCACTTGTGGCCAAGAGTCAAGGCTTGGAGTGGAACTTTCAACTAGGGAAGGAAGGGATGAAGTATTTCAACTCAGGCCTAGGATAAGAAGCAGGCCAAAGTGCTGCTATGATAGGGGAGGAGAATACAGAGACCTCAATGGAAAGGTAAGAAAGTTGGAGGGGGCATTGAAGGCTGATAACATGGGATCACCCCTGCTGAGCTTTAAATGTGCCCTCCTCTACTGTGGCTATGCTTAGTTTTCCATCTTACCTTCTCTGTAGGGGCTGATAAGAAGGGGGTCTACGGATGACCCCGTTCAAATGAAGGTCACCAAGTTTCTAGTCTTTAGGGAGCTTCTGTGAGGCTAAAAACATTCAGAATTCCAAAGAGTTGTTTGGTAGGGACAGCAGCTGAACACTAGATGAGACTGTTGGTGGGACCTAGCAAAGTTCAAAGTGGGATCCATTAAATACTCTGGAAACTAATGCTATGAATCAAGGGTAGACTTGGGATCCTCCTAAAGGTATACCTACAGCTGGCTATTTTTCTGACTTCTCTAGACACTTCTATGACCAAATTGAAGAATAAATTCCATTACAGTTGTCTATGTGCCCAAGCTGACACCCCCAACGAAAAGCTTCAAGAAGTTCCGCCCTGGCCAGTTTGGCTCAGCGGTTAGAGCGTCGGCCTGCGGTCCAGAGAGACCCGGGTTCGGTTCCCGCTAAGGGCACGTACCTCGGTTGCAGTTTGTCCCCGGCCCTGGTTGGTCGTGCGGGTGGCAGCCACTCGATGTGTCCCTTCACATCGATGTTTCTCTCTCTCTCTCCCTCCCACTCTATCTGTACAAAAAATGGAAAAATATCCTCGGGTGAGGATAAAAAAAAGAAAAGCTTCAAGAAGTTCCTGTGATCTTCAACTCTTTGAGAGGGGTCAGGAAATATTGCGCAGTCACAAAAAGTTGTCTTTAACATTGCCAGCTCCTGTTCTGCCTCTTTCCTCATGCCAGGAAGAGCGGATAGTTTCCAAACCCTCAATTCCCTGCCTGGAAGTTTTACCCTGACCAACCCAGAAGGACTTCACTATGTAGGCCTTTCCACCAACTGATTCTATGTAGTACTCCCTTCTATTCTGGATCTGCTCTGGGTTTTTGTGTTGTGTTTTTTGTTTTTTTTTGGTCGTCTTACTACTGTTCTCAGCTGCTTGAGTCCATGGCAGATAAGTAACAGTCTAGGCAGCGACAGTGACTGGATCTTGGGACGATTAATGTATAGAAATGATGCCCAGATTATTTACTGAAGCCTTCAATTCCATCTCAGAGAGTAATTAATGTTCTTCTGTCTGTAGTTCCTTCCCCTCTTCCCCTCCAAAAAGTTCCAGATGAAAAACCATCTGATTGATCTTTATACCCTCGGCTTTTAGGCACCAAGATAAGGGCCTAAATGTGACAATATGGGGCAGGGGACATTTAGTGGGCTTAGCACACAAGAGGGAGGGCTACCCAGATCCTCCTTGCATCCATCCCCAAAGCATATTCTTCCCCTACTCTGCCTTTTTACAAACCATCATCTATTTATCTTCCTCTCAAGGCTTGAAGACAAATGAAGCAGCGTGGGAGAATGAACATAGCCTTGTCTCATCAGGTCTGAATTTTAGGTCCCTTCTGCTACTGACTCAGTATATGAGCTTAAACAATTCACCTGCCTCTCTGGACCTTTAAATGAAAAGTTTGAATTAGATTCTCTCTCTGAGCTCTTTTGACTTCAGATCTATTCATACTTGAGAAATCAATGAATGAATTAGAAAAAATATTAATTCTGAGACATAGGTATCCTGCACCTCTCTGAAATAGCTGAAAGGAGGTAAAGGTCAGGTTCCTGTTTATTATACATTTTAGCTATAGGAAAAGAAGCAAGTGTACTTATGGAGAAATAGAACCTGGCAGCCCTAATACTTGACTAATAAAAGCAAATTCCAGGAAGAAGCAGAGGAATAGGCCACAAGTGAGACCTGGCAGTGTCAAAAAGGTCTATTAATTATGTGATCAAAGGAGTAAAAAACAATGGCTATAACCAGACAAGATCTCTAAGCACAGACTAAAGTCTAGAGAGGTCTGGGTGGGAAGGAAGCCCTAGAGCTTCTATTAGAGAAAAGGACTTGGTCCACAGCAAGTTGCTACTGCATTTGGTTCAAACCCAGTTTTCTCAATCTGTCAACCTGGTGTGTGTGCATATGTGCAGATATGCTGCAGGCTGTAGTTAAGCTTCTGAAGTGCTGAAATGAGAAAGAAACAAAAGAAATGATACCAAATTCAAAGACGTTATGAAGGCAAGTACAAGTTTAATTTGAAAGCTACTCCTTTTCCCTACCATTGTATCATCACTACTCATTCTGAAATGTAAGCTAGAGAGTTTTGTAAAATGGTGAAATCTGGGGGTGGGGATGGGTGTCTCTGTGGTGTGATTGAAGGCCAAAGGTTGGACACAACCCAATATCCTGTATGAGAAACCCTCTGGTTAGTGGCAAATGGATTTGACTTGATCTGACCCATCTGGACACTCACTTGTCTTCGTTCAAGGAAACTGTCTCCACGAAAGGGATTTCTTCTTTGTCTGTTTTTCCCATGATCAGCTGGTGCTTATCCAAGTTTATGATGCACTGAAAACAAAGGAGAACCACTGTCAATGACCTCACTTAGGAGGCATCTATGTAAGATGACCCCTTCCTCAGGGAGAAAGCATAAAAGGGAAAGTAGAACCCATCCTACCTTCAGGGATCGGAGAGTCTGGAGACCAAGGGATAAGTTTTTCTCATTGTCCTCTAATAAAAACAAATTAAAATTCAGCCATTTCTATACTGGGTTAGAAGCCAGCCTTATCACCATTAAGTTCCAGCCAGCCAGCCAACCAACCAACCATCCAGTAAACATCTGTATTATTTTAAATAATTTTCCCAGATCATTTAGTTAGAAGGCAATAGAACCAAGATTCAAACCCAGATCTTTTTCACCAAGATCAAGCCCAGGTCTTTTTAACTTTAAATAAAACTAGGAGCCTAGAGTCGTCTAGAACAGAGCACATGAGGAAAAGTATGAGATGGTGGGAAATTATCAAAGGATTTATGGCAAAGGAGTAAGTGGATCTTGCCCTCTACCTCGAACTAGCTCATGGAAAGCTCTCAGGGCCATTTTCACTGGCACACAAAATGTCTGTTGTCTTGCCCTCCCTTTTTTTCAAGAGTAATTCTCAACTTGCCTTGAATGTAGCTCAGGTCCAGCTGGTATTTTGGAGGGCAAAAATTGGGACAAGGTCTATAGTACATATAAGTGAAAACCTGGGATTTTGAAGATGTCAATATTTACAGGCATGAGATCTCATGAGAATTTAGAACAGGGAGAAGATTTACATCAGGGTTCATAGATCTGGTCTCTAAATCTACTCACCAACCACAGCTGCCGGGCAGTCCAGGCGGAGGGAGCCCAGTGTGATCACTAGGTGCTCAATCTGCCCCACTACTTTCAGATGCCGGGGTAGAGACAGCTTCTCTCCTTCGTGCTTGTGAGATCTAACATGCTCCTTGAGTCTGCACCAGAGAAGAAGATACCAGAATCCCCTTGGCAGAGGTTTCTGAGGGAACCTGGCAATGTCTACCTTCTGACCCACAGTCAGAATTTTCCAGGGATTTCCTGGGATTAATTTACCAAACAAGTACTAGCCAGCCTACACTTCTTGTTTCAGCACTATGTCTTAAACATGCCGGAGGACAGAAAACAAGAAACAAAAAAACACACTAAAGATTCAGCTCCTATTCTCAGAGATACTCCACTATGCGCATTGGTAAAAGAAAAGAGTTGACTCACTCAGAGAATCCTATTCTGCATCCTAACATCCACACTATGTGCAAGGCAGTTTAGGTAACGTGTCCTTTTACCCATCTGTGGATAACAGATCTCAGACAGGGCAGGTCAGTCCTAATTTTAGAATATACTTTGTTCAATGTCTAATCGTCTGTGTGTTTGCATTTCAGTTGGTCCTCATCAGTTAGTTTTAGGCTCTAAGTTTAGTGTCAGTATGTGCATTGATATTGATATCAACAAGGAATATCGTGGAGAAAGTCCCAATTAATTTAACTTGTCTGTGCAGGGGAGGAAGGAAAGAAGCAGCACCAAGGTTTCAGTTATGTAATGTGATCGGAACAGCTAGCACCCAAGCTATTATGGGTTGGTGGATAAATACTTAATTATGGACTTTTTGTGCCAATACTTCTGCTTTACTCCATTTCCTCTCTTTTAGTGTTATAGCCCATCCAAAAGAAAAATAATTTCAGTTTTACAGATGGTTATTAATTCCTCTGGAATCATGGCAGTCTGCTGCCTAATTATGCACCAGAACATTACTAGTCTTTCTGGAACCATCATGTTGCACCATATCTCACCTCTACACCACATTAAAAGACTCAGGATTCTTCCCACAAAAGCACTTGCATCCTGAACTCCCCCCACCACCTTCCAATGTACAAAACCCATAGAGGCAGCTTTAGAGTATCACAGTGATGTGAGGGTTGAGGACAGGGTAGAAACAAAGGAACAGATCATGTAGCAGAGTCACTGATTACACAAATCAAGTCTTGTGCAAGCCCTACCTAAGAATATGGACATCTTGAAAGTAGTTTAAAATGGGCCATTATATCCACCCTAGTGATTGTTTCAATGCAGAGATTTGGGCTAGGGAATGATTTGTTGTACTTAGGGATACAGAAGTGGAAAAGAATGTTGAGCTGATCCTTCCAATTCTGGGCTAGATCCCAGGGCCATCTAGTACTTTGGAGGAAAGAGGAGGAAGAAGAAATGAAAGTACAGACTGAGTGAAAAGGAGAAAGGATACAAAATGGCTTTCTCTGACTAAAAGAAGGAGAACCCATTACCAGCTGTTAGAGAACTGAAGACATTCAATTCTGAGAGATGTCTGCCTCTCATACCCAATACCCAGCCTGTGCACCAGTAAGATCTAATTTTACATATTCTTCACAGAGAGAAAAGGCACTAAGAGACCATTGGTTAATGACCCCTATGATGATTCAGGCCCGGCAGCAATGGCAGTCCTACTCCAAGCTCAGGTAGATGCTTCTTGGGACAGGCAGTGGAACCTTCAAAAGGACCCTGAGTTAAGCTAAAGCTAACCACATTCCCTGCTTTTACTCATCGAGGTTACGCCAACAGGACAGCTCCTCCCAATTTGTTGTCTGGGCAAGGCACAAATAAGGATCAGATCATGGCATACAGTAAGCCAAGAATCTCACATTCTTTCATTCCAGAGCTCACAGGTCTTTTCTCTACACTTAATAGGGGCGAGTTAATGAAAAGTCTAAGGCTTGCTGGCTCACTGATTTCTCCCAGGTGCCTGAGAACCTCTACTCTGTCCCTCTACTAAGGCCCGGTTCCAGCTGATATTTGAGCTCTGCACACTTCTTTTGGAGCCTCTGTGGAGGACCTCACCATCTTGAACCTCAAAACAGATTTAGGCAGAGTGATTAGCATCTGAATTCGACCCAGTAAGTAGTTACTTACCCCAGTCTATACACACAAGCTGAAGAGATGAGATTATATTGACAGCCTGTGTCAATCAGGGCTTTCACATCCTTTCCAGCACACTGTGGAGAAGAAACATACTGTTCAATAGGAACAAGGGAAGGGAGCTCCAGAGAGCAAGCAGCAGATGTCATATGAAAGGCAGGGCTGGAGAGCATCTTCACAATTATGGGTTAGTAGAATCCCATCTTTACCCACTGCCGATTCTCCTTTGAGGGGCCCTTTTTCCTGCTCAATCTAGAGCTGACAGAAGACCCAAATGGATGCTGGGTGTTTATTATGTATATCAAGTAGCTCGTGTGAGTGTGTGTGACATAGCCCTTTGCAAATATGATGAATATTTTGATCTTTTTTCCATAAAGATGCACAGACATACAAAATACTACATACACTTTCTGTGTTGCATGGAGTGCCCTCCTTGAAACTCATTTATGAATCCCATGATAAGAGCCACACTCTGCAACTCGGAGGTGAGAGACCAGCTACTGGGATTATAATGGGCCCAAATCCTACTCGCCAGAAAACCCTAGAAACGCTGTTCTCAGAACATTACCTGGCAAGAAACCAAAATCATGTCATCATCCTCAGACTTCTTCAGTCCCTCAGACTTAGCCTGGTTGAGTTTGTTGGTCTTGGAGGTCCAAGGGACACGACTGCTTCGGAGCTTAGACAGGTTGGTTTCCATGAGGCGCCTCTGCAGAATGTTATGTGGTTGCTTGAGGAACAGAAAGCAGAGGCTTCTTAATGACAAGTCATTTCCCCTTCTCCCATTGTCCCCCAGGTGCCACTGATATAACAAAGGAGCCTCCCTTAACCTTAGCTTCTTATTTATTCTTCCTTAAAGTGGGGACTTCATTGGTATTGCCAGAGCAGATACTATAAACCAATTTGCAGTAGGCCACTGTGAATGAAAAGAGCGAGATGGGACACTGAAAGATGTGGATAGGGTCAATGACTATTCTATGGCTAAAGAGAACTGGAGGGCCCTTGTGATTCGCACTCCCTGGGCCTACTGCCTTCCAACCCCTTACAAGGGCATTTCAGGAGAAAAGTGGCCTTAGTCTATGTGGAATAGGTATATCTTCCAGGTAACTGACAGAAGGAGCAACTTAATTTCAGAGGCTGCAGAAACCTACCTAACACTTGTTATCAGAAGCTCTGCCTATTTATTTATTTATTTATTTATTTATTTATTTATTTTCTTTACTGATTTTTTTTTTTTTTTTTAGAGATAGAAACTTTGATGAAAGAGAACATTGATTGGCTGCCTCCTGCATGCCCCCCACTGGGGATTTGGCCCACAACCTGGGCACGTGCCCTGACCAGGAATTGAACCGACGACCTCTTGGTGCATGGGTTGACACTCAACCACTGAGCCACACTGGCCAGACTATGCCTATTTCTATTTAAAGTCTCACTCCCTTACTCATTGAGTCTGTATATATATATGCCTTAATGGCCTGAGGGCTGTCATGAGTGGAGGGGGTGGGAAGGCAGGAATTCAGACCTGTTCAGCAACCCTCTTAAGAGACACACTCTGGATGGAATGTGGCAGAACCCACAGGAATCATCCTTACTGACATCCTCTGAATCTCAAGGAGTAGAGACAACTCCTACCATATGCTTGTCATCTATGCCCCTCTCTCTAATGGGCCAAAAGGTAGGAGTATCAAAGGGGCAGAGACTGGCCAAAAAGCAGGGGACTTAATTTGACCTCATACCTGTCTGAGGATACTTAATGTTAGAAAGCAGAATGAGGAATATGATTTCAAGTCTGTTCTTTGATTAAGTTTAGGAGAGTTGCTAGGGTAGATATATCCATGCTCTACTGTTTCTACCCAAAGTGGCCTTCAGAAAGTATAAGCTACCTCTTGATAAGAAGTTGTTTGACCTGAGAAATTTCTACACAAAGCATCTTATTTCTAGTTTACATTAACATTCAAAATCCCTCAAAGTATAGCATCTAACCCTAAGCTTCTATGTAATGCATATTATACGGCCCTCTGATTCTATGGGGAAGAGAGTCACTCTTAAAAGCCCAGAGCCCAGACCTTTCCCAGGAAAGGGGGAAGACCTGGAGAAGATCTTCATTTTCTACCACCTTACAGATTTCTTAAGAAGAACGGCGTTAGAGCCATGACTCACTGGAACCCTGGTGAGGTGAAGAAATGTAAATGTATTCCCAAAATACACTGATTCTTGGCAAAGCAGATTCTAAATTATTATCCTTGAGAAAAGGAGAGAAAGAGGCACTTTAAAGAAAATGAGCTTCTTAACTTGATAAGGAGCTAGAGGAAGTGCTAACTCGGTCAGATTTCCTGATGTGCTACTGGAAGAATGTTTGCTCCTCAAAAGAAACAGAAATTCTTCCTTCTTATCTCTTTCACTAATAAGCCTGCATACTTAACTCAAGTCATACTAAAGCAGGGTGTTTGTGTCTGTTAAGTCCATGCTTAGTAGGACCAACTTGGATAACTTGAATTTGTAGAACCGAAGACTGCAAGGGGTTTCAAAGGCTATCTTAATCAAAGCCCTTCTTACCCAAAGTTTGGGCCTTTCTTTCTACATCGATGTGCTGTACACCACTTTATCTAGTTACTCTCAATCTTGCTGAGGAGTCTAATCACCACTGGACAGATGAAGCAAATGAAGAAAGTTCTAGAATTATTTTCCTTCAAGTCATCTCTCATCTCTCATTTCCTCCCTTCCTACTGGACCCTTCCTCCACAAGCTATAAACACACTCAAAGTTCTCATATAGTGGGAAGAAAACCTCAGACCCTGCATCCTTAACTCTATGCCCCTGTCTAATTACACCCTTGTCTTGAGTTGTCTTTTTAAAGAAATGCCAAAATCATTATGTCTAGTTCCTGATATCCTGTATTTTCTTCTCTTCACTGAGTTATTTATTTATTTATTTTTATCCTCATCTGAGGACATTTTGCATTTATCTTAGAACAAGGAGAGAGGAAGAAAGAGAAAGAGAAAGAGCAAATTCGATGTGAGAGAGACACATCGACTGGCCACCACCCACACGACCCCAACTGGGGCTGAGGACAAACTGCAACCAAGGTATGTGCTCTTAGTGGAAACCGAACCTGGGTCTCTCTGGTCCGCAGGCCGACCCTCTAACCGCTGAGCTAAATTGGCCAGGGCTGAGTTATTTTTGATCCCATAGCACCAATAATGACCTCCTAATTTCCAAATCTGGCAGACATTTTGAGCCTTCATTTTATTTGACTGCTCTAGGGCATTTGGTCCTGCTGACTACAGCCAGCCCTCCATATCTACAGGCTTTGCATCCGCAGGTTCAACCAACTGTGGACTGAAAATAATCAGGAAAAAAAAAAAATCTCAGAAAGTTCCTGAAAGCAAAACTTGAATTTGCCACATGCCAAGCACTAGTCTGAATCCATATGAATCAAGTGATGTGTAGGCACACCCAGCTGGAGCCTGTACAAATGCCACCCCATTTTATATAAGAGACTTGAGCATCCATGAATTTTAGTACTGGGGGTGGGGGGGCTGGAACCAATCCACCATGGATATTGAGGTATGACTGTATTCCTTTTTCCCTCTAATCCTCACACGAGGATATGCTTTCACTGACTCCAGAAAGAGAGGAAGAGAGAGAGAGTGAGAGAGGGAAGGAGAGAGAGAGAGAGAGAGAGAGAGAGAGAGAGAGAGAGAGAGAGAGAAACATCGACCAGCTGCCTCCTCCGTTAGCTGTCTCCCTAACTGGGAATTGACCCCGCATCCATTTTGGTGTACAAGATGACACTCCAACCAACTAAGCCACCTGGCTGAGGCTGTCTGTATTCCTTTATTGTTCTTTTCTTTAGTAACCAAAGAAGGTTTAAAAACAATACATGCTCAATATAAAATATTCACATATCACTGAAATATATAAAATTAAAAGGCAAAGGCTCCCCAACCTCTTAACCCCTATTCAGTCCTGCTCCCTACAAATAACCAGTAAAGTTCGACATATATCCTTTAAAATTTTTTTAATACAGTTACAAATATGTATAAAAATTGGATCATACTATAACACTATTCTAAAATTTTCTGTTTTGTTTAACATATGAAAGGCATTTTCTGTCAATACATATAATTCTCTTCATTCATTTTCATAACTAAAGATATTCATAGTATAGTTTGAGAGTTTAAAATTCACAGCCAATAAACCCATATGAATGTCAGAGATGTGTTTCTGTGGTCATTTTATCATGCCTACATGTTTTAAATGACAGTGTAATTACATGTTTACTTTGGCTCCGAACTAAAATTTCACTAAAATGATAGTCAAGAAATAAGAAAGGCCTAAAACTAGAAGAACAAAGAGAACAGTAAAAAACAAAACAAAGACAAAAAAGAAAGGTGCTGACAAAATTTTGGACTCTGAAAAGCAGACAGAAAAGTGGTAAGTGACTTAGACTAGAGAAGCTAAGTGCGTCACACTGTTCTATTTCACAGAACGCTGGAGTGGTAGAGACTGCCAGTTGCTCATCAAAACCCATGTTCTCATCTCCTTGCTGGGCAAATACCTAGATTATGTTTCCAAGCCTTCCGTGCAGTTGGGCCTGCCCATATGACTGAGTTCTGCAAACAGAATATGGGTAGAAGTGACAGGCACCACTTCTAGACCTGGCCCATAAAAATCTCCTGCACACACTCCTCAGTATTCTTTTCCTCTTCTCACTGGCTGGAATGAAGACGGCCCCTAGGGTAACCTTCTTGGAGGTCAATGTTGAAAACACAAGGGTCACGTCAGCCTGGATCCCTAAATGACTACATGGGAGGGCTGTCTTACTGACCTTTCCACTAGTACTGTTGCTTAAGAAAAAAATAAACTATTACATTTGAATTATTCTATATTTTAAAGTCTAGCTGTAAAAGCATTTTTCCTACTCAAACTAAAACCCTGGAAAGGCTGTGGAGTTAGAGGTAGTAGAACCTCTATAGTAAGAGGGTATGATTAAGGTTGGAAACAGATTAGTATACAGCCTGCTTAAGACTCCCACTTGACCCAGACAACTGGGAAGAATACCAAAATTTTATTCTTTTTGTAGGAGTAAATCAAGACTCTGTTTGGCTGATAGTTAGGCTAGGCTAGAAATTATGCACTGTCAGACTACTAAATCAACTAAGAGTGAGGACAGCGTAGCATACTAAGCCAGAGCTGAAGGATATGAGTTTAAAGATTGAAAAAGCCCACACTGAGCCGCGCATAATGAAAGAAAAAAGATCCACATCAAGATGAACTTCTGGAATATCATAAATGACAAAGATTCTAAAAGCTTCCAAAGAGAAAAAGATGATCTAAATTCAAAGGATTTGGAACCAGCATGGCATCGGGACTGCTCCATGGTTATTATAATGGAAGCTAAAAGACAAAATACCTGACTACGTAATTTCTAAACCTAGCCAAACCATTAATCAAGACTCAGCCGATACTTCCCACACATCCTCAAGAAGATACTGAAGGATATGCTCCATCACAGTGAGGGAAACCAATGAACAAGGGAAAAAGCATAGGATCCAAGAAATAAATGATCCAACAGAGAAGACAGGCAAAGGAAATTCTGAGAATGGTGTTGAAGGAAAAGTCGAGAATATAGGTTATGTAGCAGGTCTCGAGAGCAACTAGTCCAAAAAAAATGTGAAGATAGAGGGCTCTAGGAAGAATGCCTCCAAAAAATAAAAAAAAAAAGGA